GATCGTTTTACCCTCTATACTTACTTCATATCATAGTGATCTGAGTATGCTCTTAATAATGGCCTTTTCCCATTTTTTTTCTTTATTATTGTAAATGCGCGACCACACTTTTCCATTTAACTCGAATTTTTGAGTGTAGTATTCTAACTTCTCCTCCTTTTTGTTCCCCCGTTCGAATATTTGATCTAACAATCCTCTAGGTTCAATTCTTAATAGTATTTCAGAGGGACTTTGTTTAGTTTCTGTCCCTGGTGAATTTCTGTAATTGTAGAGAAAAATAGCTAGACTGGTTTCTAAATCCCCCTCGTTTCTTTTATTCATGCTCTGTTTAAAAGTTCGAAATAATCGTTCGACCATGCCGTTTGTCTGAGGATGGTAAGGAGTTATGTGCACTAATTGTATAACGTTTTTTTCGCAGAAATCATGGAATTATTTGCTGTTGAATTGTGGTCCGTTATCAGAAACGATTATCTTAGGAAATCCGAATCTGGCAAAAATATTTCTTAATATTCTGATCGTACTTTCGGTTGTAGTACTAGTCATGGGAACTATTTCTGGCCAACGACTGCTAGCATCTATCACTACCAACCAATAATTATTTTGAAATGGTCCAGCATAATCAATATGTACTCGGTGCCATGCTTCTGGTGGTTTTGGCCAATTTTGAATTGATGTCTTTTGAGGCATATCGTGTTGTTTCTGGCATTCTCTACATTTTTCGACCTATGATTCTATATCTTGGAGGCCACCACGCGTATTGTCTTGCTCTCATCTTCATTTTTACCATTCCAATATGTCCTTGATGTATCATGTCATGTCTAAAACGTTGTTTCGGTATTTTTGTGATATTATCATTTTAGTTCTCCGCAATAAACAACCTCTCTCTATTGTAATTTCCTCTCTCCTTTGGCTATACTCCTTTAAACATGCATCATAGTTTATTGGCCATCCGTCTATTGTATATCTGTATACTTTAGAGAGTATATCATCTCGCATTGTTTCTCTTTCAATTTCGCTTGGATTTAAAGGTGTTTCTCCCACCTGTATTTGATCTAGCGTTTCTTCTTTTGATATTGGGGTTCGCTTTATAGGTAATCTAGATAGCATGTCAGCATTTGCTATTTGTCGACTACTTTTGACTTCTATTTCATATTGGTAACCTGCTAATAATAAAGCCCATCTTTGTATTCTGAGATGTTGTTGGTATGTCTTTTCTTGGATGAAATAAACTCATTAATGCTTGGTCTATTTGTAATGTGAACATTTTCCATATATAAATTTTTTGAATTTTGTAACCCTAAATATGATGGCGAGAGCTTCTCTTCTATTTGGCTATAATTTTTCTCAGCTGCATTTAGTGTTCTTGAGGCGAATGCAATTGGTCTCTCCTTACCCCCCCCCTCTATATGTAATATTGCTGCCCCAATTCCTATGGCTGACGCATCGGTTGCTAATACAATGGGTAATTTTGGATCATATTGTTGTAATATTGGAGTACTACGTTTCTTGCTTTATTTTTTTATACGCGTCTTTGCATTCATTAGTCCATCTCCAAGCAACTGCTTTTTCTAATAATTTGTATAATGGTTTGGCTTTGGTTGTAAAATTTAAAATAAATTTTGAATAGTATGTTGCTGACCCTAAAAATGACTGTAAATGTTTCAAGTTTGTTGGTTCTGGTGCTTTTTTACTACCTCAGTATTTTTTCCGTTAGTTGTAATCCCGTTTTTTGAAATATTGTGTCCTAAGTACTCGACATTTTGCAATTTATATTTTTCTATTTTTAGCTTGATTCCATTTTCATCTAGACATTTTAGTACCTTTTTTAAATTTGTTTCGTGCTTCTCTCTATTTTTCCCGGTTATTATAATATCATTTAAATAACAAGCTACTACTTCAAAACCTTTTAATAAATTCTCGATGGCTCGTTAAAATATAGCTGGAGAAGACGATATACCAAAAGGTAGTCTTGTATATTTAAATAATCCTCTATGCGTATTGATTATAAGATTCCCCCACTTTAATTTGAAAACAGGCATCTAGATTCAATATTGAAAATTCCTCTCCTTTTCCCAAAATGGCTAATAAATCTTGGATTCTTGGTATTGGGTATGAATTAATATTAATATTTTGATTTATAGTTATTTTAAAATCCCTCAAATTCGTAATGTTTCATCTATCTTTTAAACAATTACTATGGGTGATGTATAAAGTGAATGATTAATTTTTTCTATTACTCCTATTTTTAGCAACCTGTCTAAATCTTTTTCAACTTTATCTTTTAATGCGTTTGGTACGGGAAGTGATTTACAGAAAATTAGTTTCTCATTTTTCATATATATTTATGCCTTAAAATCTTTCAAGCAGCCCAATTCTTTAGTAAATAATTGAGAAAATTCATTTTGTATATTAATGTTATTTATTGTATGGTCCTTTCAGTCATTTTGGGAAATTTAGTTACCCAGTTTCTTTCAATGAGATTTTTGGTATATCCTTTTATAATTATGTAATGTTCGTCCTTTATATTGTACTTTTACTACAGTCTTGATCTAATAATGGTATATTGGTTCTTGTATAGCTTTTAAGTTTTAGCATTTGTTAATCCAGGACAATTAAGTTTATTTTTCCAATCTATTTCGTTAATTATGCTTACCCAGCTCCAGTATCTAATTCCATTCTGATATCGCAGTTGTTTATTTTAACATCCACCCAAAATTCTGGATTATATTCGTTTGTTTTATTATTAAAAAAATTCACTATTTCTTTTCTACAGACTCGAGCAATGTGCCCAATTTGTTGCATTTATAACAAGTGGCATTCTTGAAAAAAACAATTTTCCCTTCTATGGTTTCCGCAGCAGGAATGAGAGGAATTTAGTTTTTGGTAGCTAGTATTATAATTATTATATGACTTGGATTGTTTATCATTATCATTATTAACTTTTTAATTTTATTTATATTATCATTATGTTCCACTTCTAACTGATCGATTCTAGTTTCATCATTTTGTATTAATTTTGTATTTTTTATAGCTGTTTTTACTGCAGTAGCTATTTGAATAGCTTTGGCTCAATTTGTGCGCACTATAATACATTTTTATTTCCTGGACCATCTGTGCGCTTAAATTTACCAATATTTTATAAGTATCACATACTATTGTTGTTAACAGGGATTTTTCTTGTGATGATGTTAACGTTGGTTGTGTTGTGTGTTTTTAAATTCTTTAAATAAGTCGAACCAATCTTAGTGACACAAGTTTGAATCCGTTAAACTTTTTATCGACTGCATTTTTGTAGTGTCTTTGTTTAATAATTATGGAAATATATAAATCTTTTGTATTGTATTATTTGTAGTAATAGAATTTTCGCCATTTTATTTTATCTCAAAATAATAATATATTTTTATGTTTACAAAAATAATAAAACAACAATTCAATACTTATCAATTTTTAATTTTTTAGAATTTTTAAGCCCAGCCCGAATAATAAATTCGATTTAAATTTTTAAGCCCAGCCCAGATTTTCAATATCATACTATTTTTTCCGGACCTGAAGACCTCTGATTTATATAATATTCGCAAAATTTTTATCGTTTTTTTGTATTATAGTGATTGAATTTTTTATAAATATTATCTAAAAAATAAAATAAATTATTTTAAAGATTATTAGATTCAAAGTTGTCATTAATATTAAAGGGAAAAATAGCTACCATACATTAACAATTAAAATGGACAATAAATTAGTCCATTAAAACTTTTAAAGGGTTATATTATTTGTAATGTACAATATGGGTAAGTTGTATTAAGTAGTTATTAAATATAATGGTCAGTGATGTATTGATTAAAAACTAGGCGGGGAGGAGGGGGCTATGATTTTTTTTATAATATTATCAAAAATATATATAATCGACTTTTTTTTATTAAGAATATGAATAAATTCTTAATTTATAAATATTTTAAAATAATGTAACAAATTTAATACCACCGATATCTATAACAAATTAAAAAATATATAATATAAATTTTAAAAAAAATATATAAATTTTTCATTTCTTTATTCTTTGGGCTGTATTTTTCTTTAAAAAGATTTAACTCACCCGCGTTAATTCTTTTTCCGTATTTTGATACATGGATCTGGAATTGACGAATTATTTACTCTTAAACTCGTTCGTTATCTGCTATGATCAAAATCATAAGATGAAAACCCTTTTCCCATTCGGCGTAGGATAAAGTATTCACACAGTTAATAAATTTTTTTTAAAAATTTCATTAGTAATATCTTAACCTGTCATATTAATTTAATTTTGAATCTTTGGCAGATTTTTTTTATTGTTTTCCACAAATCTCGAATTTAGGTTCTTAGGCCAATATCTTTATGAATAAATATAGTCTATATCGGAAAGAATTTCTAAAATAAATAATTATTAAAATTTATTTAAGTAATTTATTCTCGTTTTCAAAGCTATCCATTAGACGGGACTGCATGATGCTTTCTAGAGAAATTATAAATTGGTCTATTTTTAATTACTAAGTTTGAGGATTCGAATCGAAACGAATATCGGTTCTGATAAAAATAACGGCTCAAGGTTGAGGTTCGATTCGTAAAAAATAAAATATCGGTTCCCACTCTAACCTTAAATAAAACAGAAGCGGCGACGATTTATAATTTCTCTATCTTCTATGTAGCTATAAAAAAATATATATAAATATTTTTTGACTATAAAATTTTAATAACAATAAAGAGAAAAAGGATTTAATTTAACATAAAAAAATATTAAAATTTTTGGGAAGAGAACTAAAAATGGTAATATTATAACATAGGAAACTTATAAAATTGCCAAAGTTTATTGGAAATAGAACTACTAAATACTATAGTTATATATATATATGGGGAAAATGTTTTATACAATTTTATAACAAAAGCCAGTGGAAAAGCGTTGTAGGGGGTTGATTATAAAAATAAAAATGTTTAGATAAGTATAAATTAAGGTAATGCTAATTTACTCGTCTATGGTAAAAAATGCTATTTTTTTGGTCAATTCCGAACGTTTTTTTGAACTCAACAGGGCTTCTTTCCCCAAAAAAGAACTTTCCTCTTTCATTTTATTACAAGTGAAGCTTAATCCGGCTTCGTAAGGCGTATCGTCTGTGCGGATCTCGGCGTGCCAATGGTAGTAACCTTAATTAGAATTAAAGGTATAATATTGTATTAAAAGTGTTAAATATGGTATTCCATATTTTATTTTATTCTAGTTTGCTATCCCTCTTTTTTTTAGCCTTAAATACACTTCAATTAAAATTATTTTTTTTATACACTTCTTCTGTTTTGTCTTAAGAACATAAAAATTAAACAAAGTTTTTCCTAGGTCTCTCTTTTGTTTGAGTTAAACATATGGTTTTTGTATTTTCTTTTACTCCGGGGTTTTTCTTACCTTTGGAGTCCTTAGTAAGGTGTTCAGCAAATATAAGTTAGATATTTAGGTCCGGGAGATCGCCCTGCATCCTGAGGTATAATTTGAGTTCCGAAAAGTATAGGGGGGGGGGTAGTTTTTATCCCCAATTGTGTAAGATAAAACTAACACAACTCCCTTTCGCAAAAACTTTTATTCACTTTGCTCAAATTTTATTTTAATTTATAATTGCACGTTTTATTTTCCCTATAAAAGGGACTAATTTTTATGTTTACAAGAGGTATACTTTTTTTTAGTTTAAAATATTTATTTTCGATAAGATATTTTTGATTGATAATTTTGATAAAATAATTTTGGTTTGATAAAAATTTATAATCAATTTTTTTTCGATCCTAATAAAATTTAAAATAAAGTTAACGTGCCATTTATTTATATAAGTTTTTAATTTACTTAAATAATTTATAATAACTCATACCAGATTCCATGGCGTGTTACAAACCAGTAATTGAAGCCCCGCAACTTCATAAAATAAATCTCATTACTCAATTAATTAAAGATATATAAATTTGTATAAAACTAAAAAATATATATTATAATTTAATCCCCGAGATGAACAATCAAATTTAAAAATTCTGATTCAGATCTTTTGCTTAGGTATAATATTGGGATCCTTTGATGCAGATTTTAAATTATTTCGAAGAAATATAAAAAATTTCATGAATAGTAAATGCTTAAGTATTCTATTTCAAAAAGGTTATATTCTATTTTTAATTTTAGTAAAAAGTTAAAATCAATTTTAATAGTTCTTCCTTGTTAATTAATATTTTTTCTCACAAAAATTAAGAATATGTTTTCTTATTTTTAACTTTAAACTCTGATGGATATAAGAAAGTTTTATTAACCAAAAAACCTAAAAGTAATATAAGTTAATACAAAAAATATATAATCCAAACTCAACAATAACTTCAAAAATTTTAATAACTGATTCATCATCACAATCTATTTTTTGCATTGGAATGTATTAATAAATTATTCTATTAAACAACAATTTTGATGATATGGGTATGTGATTGTTAGGACAAACGTGAAATTATATGATTTTCAAGTCTCGATTTGCATCGTTTGAAACCGTATATTTAGACCTGTGTGCCGACGAAACCATCAGCCGTCGGCGCTAGTTTCAAAAATCTAATCGGTGGCCGGTGGCGCGCCGATTTTTAGCCGCCGTCAGCTTAGATGTGAATTGGCGCTCCGCTATAAATTTTTTATAACATATTTTTTTAATTGCCAATTAATTTTTTAGGAAAAATTAAATTAAAATATACACTACACTACATATATCTCAGCATATATTTTAATCTTTATTGAAGAGAAAACTCATTATAAATTCAAAATTGATTTTGTAATTTTATATATATAAAAGTAATTTAATTTAAATTTTCCGGACATAATGATTGTTACATGTTCGCTTAATTTGTTGTAATTCATTGTATATTTAAATACTTCTTAAATATTTCGCTTATTCAATTTGTTGTAATTGTATATTTAAATATGTTCATATTATCTTTTTATTCAATGAAATTAACATGTATATAAATACATCTCAAGGCGATTAAATATATATATTTTTCATTTTCTTTTACCACGCTTTTTTTGTATAACCATATTATAAAATAAAAAGATATTACATCAAAGTCAATATTTTAATAATATAATCAATAAAGACTATTGAATTTAATAAAGTGTCTTTTTTCTGTCTAATTTTTATCCTGTGCGACCATCCTAATAACCGTTCTAGATTAAATCTTCAAGCCTATAATTTCTCTTTTGTTTTTATCATGGTGGAGGATAGGAATCATATCAAAATCAAAGTTCTATTGAAAACATTGGATCTGAAATTTTTAGCCGAAAATATTGTTGATGAGGCAACTAAGAAATACAAACTTTTCGAAACAATTTACAAAGATATGGCTGTTAGTATTATGGACAACATAGATAACTTATCGTATCAACAGATGAAAGATTTAATACAAAAAAAAGTTGAAAAAAACAAGATTACGTGCATATTTGAATTATTCAATGCAAAACCGGACAAACTTGAGTCTTCCAGAGAGTATCTCGATAGACTGAAAGGGTATGGTTCGGGGCTCAATCCTAAATTTTTGTCGGTGCAATTTATGTTGAATTGTCATAATGAAAACTAAAAACAAGGTTGATAGAAGAAAATACTACAGAGCTCAATATCATAGAGGACATTGTTGTCAAATTGCAATCGTTGGAGATTAATAATAATAAAACATATGTAGAGAAAGATTTTTGGAGAAGAGAGGATAGAGCCGATTGGCAAGGCTATTCGTCTTGGAAAGAGAACAAGCAGGCTTTTAAGGCCAACAACAACTACAACAATAACAACAACAACAATTTCAAAAAACAAGAAATTATACAAACGCCATATAATTTGATACCAAGGAATAAGATAAATTTTATTAATGATTTTATGATTAATATGCAACTTAATAATCTAAATTTTTCTTTTTTGATAGATACGGGTTCTCCGGTGACATCCTTGCCCATTAAAGATTTTGAAAAATTGGAGAATTATGAAGAATTTGAGTTGGAAAATTGTTCTAAAAAATTGTTCTCTTATGAGGGTTCTCCTATCACAGTCGTTAGTCAGGTCTCGAATATTAAGGTTAAATATTTGATTACAATTAAATATTTAAATTTGTATGTATTGGATGGGGAGGGACCACCGCTATGTGGTCAAGACTGGATTAAAGAATTTGACATAATCAAATTCAACGTTGATGTAAACACTATTAATAAGAATGAGATAGGAGATAGGGTAAATTTTTTAACTTTTAACAATCCTTTCAAAGATACTGATAAATTTTATAAAAAAAATTATGTCATTCAATCGTTATTTACTAAAAAGGGGTATTTTGAAGAGAGTTGTGACATCAACAAACTAATTAAGAAATTTGATTGTGTTTTTAATGATAGAATTGGAAAAGTCAAAAATTTGGAAATAGATATTTTATTAAAAAATGACTTTAAGCTAAAATTTGTGAAGGCCAGGAGAGTGCCCTTCGAGTTAGAAGAAGAATTAGAAAACACTATAGAGCAATGGCGCCAGCAGGGAGTAATTAAGCCTGTCAGATTTTCACAATGGGCCACTCCATTAGTGTTAGTTAAAAAAAAGATAATACGTTGAGAGTTTGTGCTGACTGAGTTACTGTAAACCCACAATTAGAAAGGTTCGAATATCCGCTTCCAAGGATTAATGACATAATTGCTAAAGTAGGTAATAAGAAGTTTTTTTCAAAAATAGATTTCTCATCGGCGTTTCTGCAGATTCCTGTATCTAAAGAAACTTCCAAATTTTTGACCGTCTCCACACACAAGGGTATTTTTCAATTTAATAGACTACCTTTTGGGCTTACAGTATCAACTGCTTATTTCCAGAAGACTATGGACGAAATATTTGCTGATATTAAGGGGTCATTAATAATTTAGATGATTTGTTAATTTTTTGTAAGGATAAGTTAGACCATTTTTATAAATTGAAAAGAGTATTTGAAATAATGTTGGAATTTGGGCTGATTAGAAATATAAAAAAAAGTGAGTTTTACAATGAGAGTATAAAATATTTATGTTATTTAATAAGTGACAAAGACATAATGCCAAGCAAAGAAAAAATTGATCCTATAAGTAAAATGACCGAACCTAAGAATAAGGATGAATTACATTCTTGGTTGGGTCTTATGAATTATTATTCTAGATTTATAAGAGATTTTTCTAAATTAGCAGCTAATTTATATTATTTACTTAAAAGGGGTAATAAATTTTGTTGGGGAATCAATGAAAGAACTAGTTTTTACGAAATTAGAGAAAAATTGTGTAATGCACCAGTTCTTGCAAATTATGATAGAAATAAGGAATTGTTTATTTCAACGGATGCGTCCAATAAAGTCATGGGTGCTGTCTTATTTCAGGTAGAAGAAGATGGTTTAGAAAGGTCAATTGAGTTTATGTGTAAGGCATGGGCTGGAGCTGAAAAAAAGATATTCAATTATTGAAAAAGAAGGATTTTCTGTTGTTTTGGCAGTAAAAAAATGGAAAGAATATGTAGTAGGTAGGAGATTTAAAATTTTTTCGGGCCATAAACCACTGGTGAATTTGTTTGGAGTAGATCCTGTTAAGCTTTACATGTCTCCAAGATTACAGAAATGGGCTTTTTGTTTAGCCGGTTTTGATTTTGACATTAATTATAGAAGGGGTAACGATCAAATCATTCCTGATGGATTATCAAGGTTAATTAAGGAAGATATCATTTGTTTTGTTAATGTTAATAATGATATGAAGGATGTAAGAATAATTAACAATTTAGAATTGAAATGAGAAACCTTTTTAGATTCAGAATTAATCCAAGTTAAAAAAATTGTGTTGGAAAAAGGTGAAAATGATACGATGATTAAAGGTTACAAGGCATTCGGTAAGTTGTTGAATATTAAGAATGATTGTATTTTTAAGGGCGAACAAGTTATTATTCCTCAAAGGTTAAGAAAAAAGTTTCTTAGTGTGTTACATGAGGGACATATTGGGTTGTATAGGATGTTAGATACTATGGAAAGGTATTTTTGGTGGCCAGGAGTCAATAAAGATATTAAAGAAATTATTTTTAGATGTAATATGTGCATGATCAATGCGCCTAAACTCCCAAAAGTTAAACAAAATTATTGGGTACAACTTAACAAACCCTGGTACC